GGGATCCCTTGAACACAAGCACTTAACTACCCTTTTTTTTTCTACCCCCCCATCTCTGCCTCCAGAGACACCTGGTACCTCCAGTTCCTTAACATTTCTGTAGTGCTGCAGCTTCGCTGGGTTTCTCACTGCTAACCTCTTTTGCAAACTTAGAATTGAGCTTTCTTTAATGAAGGGCAGTTACTTTTTCTCCACTATTCAGTAACTAATAAAGTTTTTTTTTTTTTTTTTTTGAGACGGAGGCTTGCTCTGTCACCCAGGCTAGATAGAGTGCAGTGGTGTGATTACAGCTCTCTGTAACTTCAGACTCCTGAGCTCAAGTTGATCTATATGTCTCAGCCTCCTGAGTAGCTGGGACTACAGGCATGAGCCACTATGCCTGACTATGTTTTTAAATTTTTTGTAGAGGTGGGGTCTTCCTATGTTGCCCAGGTTTGTCTTGAACTCTTAGCCTCAAGTAATCTCCCACCTCGGCCTCCTAAAGTGTTGGAATTACAGACCTGAGCTAGTGTGCCCATCCAGCTTCTAAAATTTTGTTGCTGTTTTGTCTGTGGTTGTCTCTTCTCAAGTTTTTTTGTCCTTTTTTATTCAGTTTTTGATTGTTTATTGTAATTTCAGTGGGAAATAATGGAAATAGTAAGAAAGCATAAATTACACAATGCTCAATTCTTCATGCTTAATTGAAAGTTCCTAACGTCTTTATCATTGAGGGCAGAAGCTCTGCGATTCTGATTTTTTGCATAAATTCATTCTATGACTTCTAAGTGTGTTAAAGATCTGCTATATTTTTTTCTCAAGGTGGCTATTGCTGCACTGATTGCTCTGATTCTTTTGATCTTTTGTGCAAAATTAAAAGACTTAGCAGAGTCTGTTTTTGATTTTTATTTGCAGTAGTTGAGATGCTATGGGCCACTGTAAGATTGTGCAGATGAAGTAGGTTTAAACAAGAGTTAAGTTACAGCTTTGCTGGATTCATTGCACCTTGATAAGCAATGCTACTTGGACTTGACTTCATCCCACAAATGTTGATTGGCTTCTGTGGGCATTGGGCCAGTTTTTTTAGTGAGTCATATCATGATTTCCTATGGGGCTGAGTAGATCTGGGCAGCTAATTCATATTTGTGCTATTACTGGGAGGTATTATAATCTCTAGTGTCTGATAAAAACTATGATTTAATGTTATACATACAAAAATGTACCAGAACATATAATGTTTTTATTAGCCTGGTTGTACTCCATAGCAGTACTCTAGTCAAATAAATAAAAAGTAATATTCTTTACCATCTACTTGACCTGAATTATTCTCTTTTGTGGATGAATATCTGTTTGTAAGATCTTAATAACAAATCAGAATATCTAATTTAGTAAGATACTATGGTCTAGAAGATATGAGGAGCTCTTCTTTCAGCACAGGATCAGTTTGAATACCAGTAAATGTTTGCATATTTAGTAACTGCACTACTACATATGCAGGGCCCAGGAAGCCCTTGCAAACTTCTGGAGTACTATTTGTAAGCGTAATTCCATATTGTAAAGTTTATTCTTTGAAGATAAGCCCTGAGTAAAAAACGAGGAAACTGAGGCAAGCACAAGAAAATTAGATGCCAATTCCAATTTATTTTAGCTCCCAGGCGAGGTTCTGTGGTCCTGGGGAGAGCGGCCAGGGAAGTTGCTCTGCGAAGTCAGGCTGCCTTCTCTCAGGAGTGGGGTTTTATAGGGAATGAAGGCGTTTGATTGGATTTGGGGAGACAGGATGTGGACAGCGGGAGCTACTATTGGTAGGGAGGCGGGACTTCCTGTGAGCAGGCTAAGTGCTGAGTGCAGAGGGGATTTCCAAGGGAGGGGTTAGGTGCCCAGTGCAGAGGGGATTTCCAAGGTGGGCTAGGTGCTGAGAGCAAAGGGGATTTCCAAGGCGGAGCTAGATGATTGGCATCCTAGTGTAGAGGGGATTTCCAAGGTGGGGCTAGATGATTGACATATTCTAATTTTCAAGCGGGGAGAGGGATGGGCATGTCCGAACTCCAGGCGAGGCAACCAGCCTTACACATATTAACAAAAATAAATAAAAGTTAAAATGAGGCCTGCTAAAAACATGCTTTCTGCTTAGAAAAAACACCTTCCTTTAGCATTGAATGGCCTTGTGCATTGCTATAGATTCAGTCATCTGAACTATTTCATTACTTAGGTGCTCTACATGCAGTTATATGGGGCTTTCCCAGTGCTTTTATAAATATAAAGAAAGTTTATGTTAGCAAAAAAATGGAGAATTATAGGTTCTCTCATGTTCCATAGAATATATGGATTTTTATGGGATGGGGTATAGAATGAAATAATTAATTATGGTATTAATTGTTTGGTTTAAGTACCTCTTACACACACACATACACACAAAAACACCAAGAATACAAAAATATATTTTATGCCCCAGATAACTTGAGCAACTAAAGTTTCTCCTCACTGCAGTTTATTTATTTTAATTTTTATGAGTACATAGTAGGTATATATATTTGTGGCATGCATGTAGTTTAGATGATCCTTGCCATTAGGTTGCCAGACTAGGAAAATAAGTTGAAGTGTGATTTTATTTTGGATTAAGGCAAGGAATTTTAGTAGTGGAAGTATATGGAAGGGTAGATATAGCCAGTATTTGACAGAAGACTATATAAAGGACGAATGTTTATATCAGCAAATGAGAATGTGGTCTAATCTAGCACTGTTTAATGGAACTTTCTGTGATGCTGGAAATGTCTATATCTGCACTGTCTGACATGGTAGACATAGACACATGTGTCTGTTTAACTGTTGAAATGTGGTTAGTATAACTGAAGAACTGAATGTTAAATTTTGTTTCACTTTAATTAATTTAGATAGTTAATAGAAAATAGGGTTATTTTACAATTGCTTGGGAATATAGATAATAGAATTAAATTAATTTGCACAGCAGATCTAGTCTCTAAAACAAAATTGCTTTAGCAGCTTGACTATGGCACAGGTCAGGATTTCTTTCATTCATTCATACATATACTCAACAAATGTTAAGAACTTACTATATAGTATACTTACTGTATATACTATGCTTACTACATTATGCTAGCTGCCAAGGTAAATAAGTTGTCTATTGCTGATTGGGCTCCTAATAAATGAAAACCTTTTTAACATCACAACATGTAAAGCTGACCAATTGAGGTTGGAAGGAGCCAGTGGTTCTATTGCAGTTACAGAACAGGATAGAGGAGCAGGGTGCAGGAAGCCATCAGGGGGCACTGCTTATGGCCAGGGAAAGAGGACAGAGCCAGGAGATCTAAAGATTTTTTGTTTTATATAATCAGTTTGAAGGAATGATATGTGGTCAAAAATTACCAGAAAGAGTTCAAAAGCTGTAACAGACAAGGGCCAAAGCCAAGCAGAAATTATTGCAAGTTTAGCACAGTCAAAAGTACATTCCAGGAAGCTGATGTTTAACCAGATATAATACTGTTCCATGTTAGAGCTGAGTGACAGTGATCCCTGTGGAAAATCCATGTAGCAGGAAGATGCAGGTCGGCAGAGGTATGGACCTGCCACTCATTTTCCTTATGTATTGTCCTGGCTCAATGGTTAGGGAGGATGGAGTGAATTTATAAATTGAGAAGTGGTTCTGCTCGTATGTAGGTGATTCTGAAACTACTCTAGCCTTGAGAATCGCAGCTAGATTCTGCATTTCTATGCAGTATCTACAAAGGACTTTCTTTGGTTTCTTTTTAAAACTGAATCTCTGATCAAAACATTGTAATAACTCTTTCCTGGATTTCAGTGAGAATTTGGAATCCATGAAAGAGATGTGAGAGAATCATCTTTTATTTTGTTCTTTCTAATTTTTGAACTCAAAGATTAGAAAGGACTGTAGTCAAATGTTTGTGAGCTTGGAACCTGATGTAAAGCGATCCCTTGCTCCTAAAGAAGAAAGAAAGTGAAATGGAATAATAATAAATGCCATCTAGTTGTGTTGCTTTATAGGCTTAAATTGACACTTGATTAATTCTTTTCAGAAAGTATGTAACTGTTTTCAAAAATTCTATGAACTCTCAGCTTTGTGGAATAATAGAAAGTAGAGTGTCCTTTTATACTTGCCTATAATATTCAAGCCAGTTATTTTCTGAATGACACAGTGGGATACATAGAAAGCAGACTTACAGCTAATCAATAGCATTATTTTATTAAAAAATTTTTATGATGAAGGTTCAGAATTCTCCCTTTTAGGAATCTTGAGAAAAATGACTTCTGAAAGTTTATTTCCATATCTCTTGTTGCTTAACTGTATGTGATGGTTTTGACAACTATAAAGATAGAAAAGGTTTTTTTTTTTTTTTTTTTCACTTGTTTATAGAATTGCTCCCTCTTCCCTGGACAGCTGTTTAGATATATACCTGCACACTCATGCTAAGGAAGGTCCAGAGAGAGGGAAATGCCACTGTCTCTTGGGTTCCTATCAAATAGTACGTCCCAGCTCCTGCAGCCAGGAAGTTCTTTGGGGAAAAACCAGTGGTGCATTTGCACTTTTCTACCTTTGCGCTGGAAGTTCATTTTCTTTTGTCCTGCTTACAGTGATACAGAACAGCTGCTGGCCACATTGGCAAAATATTTGAAGATTGTTATTTGCTTTTCAGCTTCTCCTTCTTAGGTTAAATAAATGGTGTTTCTTTTGTGTTTCTCTTTGGGGCCAATTTTCTTATCATTTTGTTGTTCCTTTAAACTCTTGATTAGTTTCCTCGGGACTCCTTCCAAATCCTTTATAGAGGTTTCTAGTTTGTGGGCCTAACACTGAACCTAATAAGTACTCTTGTAGAGGTTTGACCAGTGGTGAGCCTAAAGAGATAATTGCCCTGTATTTCTTATTGAAAATATCTTTGTATAAATCTTGGTTTTTAAATTATAGCATAACATCATTGGCTTGTATTTAACCTATAGTTTTCATAGGAGCTCAAGTTTTCACGTCATGGACACAGCACCAACACCAGGCCTGCTAAATCTTTATTGGTTCAGAATGGTATTGCTTAGGGAAATTTACACTACTGAATCTTTGTGATTGTATCTATTTGCCAACTCCTACAATATTATTGTCATTAAGAATTTTTATTCAATATTCATTTGTCTGTACCCAGTTTGTATAGGATTAAATTTTTGCATGTCCAATCAGTCATTTATTTCTTCAACATCTGTTTGTTAAACCAGTTTATTTGAGGCACTGTCTGTATTAACTGCCATGCAAACTATTAATGTATTGACAAATACTGGAATCACACTACAACCTTATTTCAGCCCAAAGCAAGGTGCATTAGCCCCATTTCAGGAAACTGCAGTTAGTGAACTATGGAAAACATCTCATTAGAAGACAAGTCTTCAAAAATATTATTAGAGTGGAGTTCTGGTATAGTACCAGCAATGAACTGAGCCTGCCAAAGCTGGTTTGAATATTAGCTCCAGGGTGAAGGAAGGTGAAATAAGAGTTATTGTTTCTTGGGTAACACCATTTAAGAAGCTTTATGATGGAAATCAGCCTTCTAATGTCCACTTATTGGCTAAAATCTGAACCTCACTTTTCTTCCCTGGCATTCTGCTAACTATGGGTGTTCCCATGCTGACTTAGTCCTTGGTGTTCTATTCTCTCTGTTGTTTTCTTTGGTGATACGATTCTGTACCACAATTTTAACTCTTTTTCTGTGTACTTATGTTTATACTTTCTCTCTCCAAGTCCCAGTTCTGTGTCATCAGCTAACCTAAATACAATGTGTTTTATCCCAAACTAGTACATTTCATTCGTTCAAATTGTTGACAGTTGTGATAGTTGCATTTTCATAGCTGACACACACATTATTCACCTTAAACCTTATTTACTTTTAAAAATCTGTTGCCCTATTATTCTGTTATATTCTAATAATGACCTGCCTTAGTGTCCTTCTTCGTTAATTCATATTGCCCATTAGGGACAGACTGCATTGTATTATATAACCCTGATCTTAAACCTCCAGTAGTTCCCCATCATCTTCAGGAGAAAGTCCAAACTTTTCAGACCACATGAACCTGTGAACAAAACAATTAGAATATTAAACACAATTATTCTAGAACCTTGCTTTTGCCATTGCTTCAGTCATCCAATCAATTCTGTCAAACTATAGTCTTTATCAGGTAAACAAACATAGCTCAGGTGTAGTGGGTTAAAGAATTAGAGTGATGCAGGTGTAGACATTGTAGGACTTGATGAAATCACCATGCATTTTATTGTGGTAGAAACTTCTGCCTTCATGGAAACTTGAGATTTTTAGAAACTCCTAAAAGTTAGCATCTTTGAAAGTTGGGACAAGGTAAATAGGTTACCCAGAGTTAAGATCTAAACCGGAAGAAACTGACTCAGGAATAAGATGACTGGACAGAAGAAATTTTAAGCACGTTTTTCATGAAGACCTAGAGCAAACAACACACGTGGATAGGAAATGATACTCCATGAGGAAGAACGAGAAACCCAGCCAAGACTTTGATGGTTGGAGAGAGAGGGAGGCAGAGTGAAGAAGAGATTCATAGAAGGGGAAAAAAAGTGAAATCTCTAGGCTGACTGTTAAGGTCTTACAAGCTAGTATTTACATAGGATCTTGGCATCTGATAATTTACCCCTTCCTACCACTCTTCCAAGTTTGTTTGAATAAGCCAGTATTCTGGGGACATGATTCTATTCTGAATTTAGAACTTTTCCTCTAGGAGGAGGTTTTTATGCATATGATAAGTAAAATATTTATTCAGAGATATGGCTCATCTATGCCATATGTGTGAAATACAGAAGATGGCAAAGAAGAGGCAAAGTATGGGATTATCTGCTTCTTACCACTTCAGTCATCAGTTTCTTTTCTTAAGTAATATGCCAGGAAACAGTTTCACATTTATGTGGATATCATGGTGTCCCTAGCTTGAGCCTAAGCTAGCCCTATCACCCAAATGCCCATATGTTTGGGCGTGTCTTTGACACTGGTGAAACTGACCTGCCAGAAGACAATTCATAAGAGAGACTAGATAGCATTTCTGGGGAGAGAACTCCTTCATGGGGTGGACAAAGGTAGACAAAGTTGAACTAGTAACAAAACTTTAAAATTGTGAGTGATACTTCTGAGAATATCATTGTGCCCATCACTTGATTCATCTACTGGCCATTACACCTTAAAATACTCTGTGACTCTTAAAGAGAGATAGCCTGGAAAGAACTGTAGAGAAAAACTAAGAGCTTCTCACTAAAGTCTTGGAAGTCTTTTGGAGCAGTACTGCTTCAGTATTTGTGTGAAAAAGTACGTCCCTGAATCAGGGAATGAGATATATCCAGCCAGTCATCCACTTTTCATGCAACACAGAGTAACTTCTACATATTATGAATTTCGGAGAACCCTAAGCAGCTTTAGGTCTTTGGGGACTCTGATTCACTGGCAAGAAAGCAACAGCAGATTGTGGTATCCGTAAGACATGGGCACAATGTTTGGCAAAGGCAGCAGTATCCAGCAAGTTACAGTGGTAAATTTGTGATATGTCAGCTGGAGGCAGCTGCTAAATACATTTAGACACCATTGAAGACCTCAGAGGCTAAGTTTCAGACATCATGGATGTGGGGGATATCAAGTGCAGGAAAAGACAACAAAATGTTAGGTATCATATATATACATGGTAGCTGGCCGTGCTTATTCAAGAGCATACACGAGATAACACTTGGAGATCCATAAATATTTGTGAAGGGCTTTGTAGGAAATTAGAGATACTGCATTTTAATAGGTAAGGCCAGGAGGTAAGAATCAGTAAGTTTCTTGGGCTTAGAGGAAGGCTTTTTTCTTTCTTCCTTTTTTTTGGTTGTTAAAGACATCTTGAAATGGAACAATGATATTTGACATTTTTAAGAAAGATACAAGGTATGTTTTAGAAATTATACATATATATGTTGTTTTTATAAGATTAAGGGAATAATTATGCCTGTCATTAAGGGAATGATAATTACTAATGCCTAAGCATTAGTCTACTATCTACTAAATGAGATTACATGTGGGAGGCAATATGTATATGAAACCCTTTTATACTATGACTGGAATTTAGAAGTTTGCAAACATTTCTAATCTCCTTTCAATCAGGAAGATGCTTATAATTCAGGGAAGGATAAGGATAGAACATTAGATAGGCTTGGAAAAGAATAGCAGTTCAAGCCTGAATGTACATCAGGTTCACCTGTGGAGATTTTTAAAATACAGAAATACCTGGGAAGATCCCAGATCTCTGAATCAGGATCTCTGGTTGTAGGACTCAGATACTTTTTTTTTTTTTTTTTTTTTTTTTTTTTGAGACGGAGTTTCGCTCTTGTTACCCAGGCTGGAGTGCAATGGCGCGATCTCGGCTTACCGCAACCTCCGCCCCCTGGGTTCAGGCAATTCTCCTACCTCAGCCTCCTGAGTAGCTGGGATTACAGGCACGTGCCACCATGCCCAGCTACTTTTTTTTTTTTTTTTTTGTATTTTTAGTAGAGACGGGGTTTCACCATGTTGGCCAGGATGGTCTCGATCTCTCGACCTCATGATCCAACCGCCTCGGCCTCCCAAAGTGCTGGGATTACAGGCTTGAGCCACTGCGCCCGGCCTCAGATACTTTTTAAACAGTTTTCAAATGATTCTCACGAGCAGACAAGTTTTTGAATCAGTGATGTGGAAGATGGAGAAAGTACTAGTTTTCTCCTTTATGAAACTAAAAGCCAAAGGACTATCTTTTCTTTCTTTAGAGATACACAGTGGTCAAATTGAAAGAGTACAGGGATCTAGTCCTGGACTTTACTAATGAGGAGGGTCACTTAATCTCTTTCTTACCAGTTTCCCAGCTGTCTAATGGAGGCTGTGATACTTTCTGTACAGAACTATTGTATTAGCAGAAGGGATACATCTATACCATAAGAGCTGACCTGTAGTACCCGTAGTAGGTGGACAATCCATGTTACTTCTTACTGTTCCTTTTCCCCTTTCTCTAGAAAACAGTTGTTTTTTTTTTTTCCAAAACAAGTGCTTAAGCACCCCAGGTTTACCCTGGACTTTAGCTTTCCATCTATGTATGTTTGACCATGTGCCTATCTTGCTATATATTCAAGATGAAGCTTTTGGAGTTCATAGTAAAATGGAAGAGACAAACAGCAAACCAATTATATTGTTATTCATTTCAGTTGCGATTTTGTTAAATGTCACAAATGTAAACAGCATGTTATGAGGATATCCAATAAGATTTTCTAACCTAATTTACAATGTATGTTAGTCTTCTGCTTTAGCTATCCTTTTTTGATATTGATGTATTGACATAATTTTTTTCCTCCAATGTTAATGTAGAAAGTCTTACTGTAGGGAATAAAAATCCCTCATCTACAAGTATAAATGAACAGATGCATACTATATTTTGCCTGTGGGTTATATTATATATTTGCATGCTACTTACTGTTATGGGTAAATATGTGTACCCTTAATGCCAAGTTTTTTTGAATGCCCCTTTTTCGTGTATTTTAATAAAAAATCTAGGGCTTAAATTTTATTTAAGCTGTTTGATTAAAGACAAAAACACTAGCTCTCATTCTATTCTAACTTGGCTGAAGTGACAATGAGGAAGCATCCAGAGTGAGCTCTATTTGACAATACTAAAAAGAGAAATATCTCTTACCATGTTTTTAAAAACAACTTTCAATTAAATTTCATTTGGGATTAGGGCCTGTCTTAGTTATATACTTTAGAAAATTAAGATTTGTAACAAAAGAATCTTAATGTTTTAATACCATTAGCCAGAAACCATTATCTATTTTTATTGCAATTGTGTAAAATTCAGTGTTCCTTTTCAAATGGTATGAGACTTTTCTCTCCTAACCTTCTGGTGTTGGCAGTCATGTTTGGTTAGGTGGAAAAATATTTATTCAGTTAAAGATTATATTAGTCTCTTTGGCTTCTCACTTTTATAAGTAATTTAGGCCTTCAGGCATTTGTGTCTATAAGAAGTTTTGAAGAAATGTCTTAACTGCATAGTATAGGTGCCCATGTTGAAAGATTATCTTAAAATTGTCAGTAAAAATAGATGAATAAATGGTTCATGGAAGTCACTTTTTAAAATTTATCAGCCATTATGTATCCATGTAAAAAACAAAAGGCCATTTTTCTCAGTTCACATTATACATGACATAAAATAAATATAAAAGTGAACCTTTGAGACAATATTATAAAAATTAGCACATTCAAACCATTAAAATTTTAAAGCATTGCTAAAACATTAAACCTTTTAGATATGTTCTCAACTAAATATTATTATCCCTATTTTATAGCCAGTGTTACGGACATCCAAGGACAATGTCAATTTTGTTAATAAATGGTGCATCAAATAAGTGCGTGGTAAAAAAATGAAAAGTTGATACATTTATGTTTTTCTTGTTATGTAAAGTCTGTTTGTAATAAAAGGAGTTCTGTACATAGGGCAATAGATTTTTGCACAATGAATTCATAATGGTTTCCCAGATGTTCGTATTTAACTAGCAACCATTATGAAAGGGATAAAGCTTGCAAAGGTTATCTTCCTGATTAACAGCTTTCACCATTCCTAGCTAGGTGATTTTATAGTCTGCCAGGGAAATTAACCATGTCACTTCCAGATCATAGCTATTATAATTTGATGGAATATAATTCCACACAGTTCTATCATATTTTGAAATGAAAACTAGATATGACTTAATTTCACTTAATGGTTAGTGTATTGTCATAGACATACTGAATTTCCCAAAATCTGAAGAGAAATGAGCAGTTTGTCAAAGTCAATATATCTAAAGGGAAATGAACAGTTTGTCAAAGTCAGGATATGGTTTTAAATGCTGTGCAAAAATACAGCTGTCAACAGAGATGAAACATATGACCACAAAAGTACTCTCAAAGACTTCATTTCCAATAATTAATTTTTCTTTTTTTATAATGCCATCTAGTATGCCATTGTGTCAAATTTCATTTTCTAAGAAAAACATCTTTTTCAAACATACTGACCCAGCAGTAAAGAGGAAAACACTAAATCAGAAAAATACAACTTCATAGACAGACTGGAAATTTTAGGGACTTCTTTACAGTCTCAGCAATGAAATGTAGCCATGAATGCATGTGCCTTCTTAAGCTTGAGTGGCTTATTATAATCAGACTAAGTTCTCATACCATGTAATTCCATTGTAGTTTATTACTTAAATCCATAAGAATTATAACTGAAAAAGCCTTGCCTAATCAAAATAAAATTTATATATTCACATTATAATAAAGAACAAAAGTTTTAGTTTAAAATCAGCTTTATCTCATTGTCCTGAATGGAAAATAAAGAATTATTATTTTTTCCTCAGTCATGACAAACTTGCTAGAACTCATGAATGTTTCTGTATTCCTCTAATGTCTACATTTTGGTAATTCCTTATCCAACCATTTTTCCTTCTATATCTTCTAATCCTTTGTATTATTTGCTAGGGCTGCCATAAGAAAATGGCACAGATTGGGTAGCTTAAACAACAGAAATTTATTTTCTCACAGTTCTGGAGCTATAAGTCCAAGATCAATATGTCATCAGGTTAGTTTCATCTGATGCTTCTCTCCATGGTTTGCAGATGGCTGCCTTCTCTCTGTGTCCTTACGGTCTTTATTCTGTGCTTGCGCATCCTTGGTGTCTTTGTATCCAAATTTCCCCCTCTCTTAAGGATACCAGTCAAATTGGATTAGGGCCCACCCTAAAGGCTTCATTTTATCCTAATCACCTTTCTAAAGGCTATATCTCCAAATACAGTCACATTCTGAGATACTAGGTGTTAGGGCTCCAATACATAAACTTTAGGGGGACACAGTTTAGTCAATATCACCCTCTATGTTTCACTTCCCACTCTTTCTCCATCCTTTCCTTTTTATTATTTTCTTTCTTTTTTCTTAAACATTTATTGAGCACCTGCTTGTATGCCAGCCATTGGGCTAGAGGCTGAAGATACAATGATGAATGAATGAAATATAGTTTTTTTCCCTTAATGATCTAAGGGAGAAAGCAAGGAAGTAGCTAATTGCATTTCAGAAGGGTAATGTTCTGATCAGAGTGCACATAAGATGCTTAGAAAAAATAGGGCAAGGCCATTGAAACCAGCCTTGAGGAGTTAAGGAAAACTTTTGCTGTAAAAGCAACCTTTTCGACAAATCTTGAATGATCAGTAGCAATTAATCAGGAGAAACATTGAGAGAATGTTGCACAATGAAGAAGCAACATATGCAAGAGCCCACACATGTGAAAGACATGGCATAATTGGACCTTGCAAGTAATTCAGTAAGAGTTTAAGTGAAGCTGTTTTGAAGGTTGAGACAGGAACAGTAAATAGTGGAGAAATACTGAATCAGCATTTGGTACATTTACATAAAAATAATTTTATGCTTGGAAAAATAAGTTATATTAAAATCAAGATAGAAATGACAAACTTAGAAAAAATATTAGGAACTCAGGGTAGAAAGAGTGAGTTTCCTTAATATACAGAGTTCTATAAATCAGTGTGAAAAGGCCAGTTATATAGTAGAAAAATGCACAATGGAATAGAATTGAAAGAAGAAAAAATGTAGCCATTATTTTAAAAAATCAAGTATTGGTGAACATATGCAGAAATGGGAATCCTTGTTGGTGAGAATGTAGAATCGAGAGCCACTATGGAGAACAATATAGAGGTGCCTCTAAAAATTAAAAATATAATTATCATATGATCCAGCAATTCCACTTCTGAGTATTTATCCAAAATAAAACTCTAAGAGGGTTCTTTTGAAGAGATATCAGTCTCTTAAAGAGATATCAGCATTCTCATGTTTATTGCAGCATTTTTCACAATAGCCAAGATATGGAAGAAAATGTGGTCTATACAGGCAACTTAACTTATTCAGTGTTTAAAAAGGAGGAAATCTTACCATGTGCTGCAACGTGGATGAACCTGAAGGACATTATGTTAAGTGAAATAAGCATGCCACAAAAGGACATACACTACACGATTCCACTTAGATGAAGTATCCAAAATAGTCAAACACAAGAAAACAGAGTAGAATTGTGATTGCCAATGGTTGGGGAGAGGAAAAAGTGGAGGTTACTGTTCAGTGTGTATAAAACCTTTATCATGCAAGATGCATTAAGTTCTACAGATTAGCTGTTCAACATTGTGCCTATAGTTAACGATATTGTATTGTATATTTAAACTTTTTTTTTTTTCTTGAGATGGAGTCTCGCTCTGTCACCCAGGCTGGAGTGCAGTGGTGTGAGGTTGTGGTGTGCAGCTCACTGCAACCTCCACTTCCTGGGTTCAAGTGATTCTTCCGCCTCAGCCTCCTGAGTAGCTAGGACAATAGGTGCATGCCACCATGCCCGGCTAATTTTTTGTGGTTTTAGTAGAGATGGGGTTTCACTGTGTTAGCCAGGACAGTCTTGATCTCCTGACCTCATGATCTGCCCATATTAGCCTCCCAAAGTTTGGGGTTACAGGTGTGTTAAGAGGTGATATGTTTTGGCTGTATGTCCCCACCCAAATCTCATTTCAAATTGTAATCCTCATAATCCCCATGTGTCAAGGGAGGGACCTAGTGGGAGGTGATTGGATGATGGGGGTGGTTTCCCCCATGCTGTTCTCATGATAGTGAGTGAGTTCTTGTGAGATCTGATGGTTTTATAAGGGGCTTGTTGCCCTTTCTCTCTCTCTCTCTGTCTGTCTCTGTCTCTGTCTCTCTCTCTCTCTCTCTCTCTCTCTCTCTCTCTCTCTGTCTGTCTTTCTCATGTGCCATCATGTCAGACATGCTTACTTTCCCTTCTGCCATGACTGAAAGTCTCCTGAGGCCTCCCCAGCCATGTGAAACTGTGAGTCAATTAAACCTCTTTTATTTTCAAATTACCCAGTTTGGGGCAGTTGTTTATTGCACTATGAAAACAGACCAATATAAGACAGTAACTCTCATGTTAAATGTTCTTACCATAAAAAATAAATTGAAGGTGTTATGTATAGAACGTTCTATCTGAAAAAAAATGCAGGTAGTTTTTAAACATGAAAAAAATGTTGAACTTCACTTAAAATCAATGTAGAACAACACTACAAGATGCCTTTTCACCTTTGGTGTTGGCATATATTAAACATTTAATGATAGTGTATTATAAAGGCAAAGAAAAACAGACACCTACATTGCTGGTGGGAGTATTAACTGTTACAATCTCCACAGAGTGAAATTTGGCAATATCCCTCAAGATTATAAATGTACGATCCCAGCAATATAATTTCTAGGAAATATTCATATATGCATGAAATGGTGTTTATACAAGTTTTCATTACAGTACTCTTTGTAGTGACAAAAGTTTGACATCTAATAGTAAATAATATGCATTTAGTATTTCATGGGAGGTATAGTGATATCTGCAAGTTTTTCAGAAATTAATAAAAAATTACAATGGATTGACAGAGTGATGAAGTGATGATTAGATATATGATAAGGCAATTAGTACTAAAATATTATTTAGAAACTAGTTGTTGTCTGAGTGTTTAATATAAAATTCAACTTTTATATACATTTGAAAACTATTATAATAAAATGTTGGGGGAAAAGATTGCTAATAATCTTAAAGTCTTACCACAGGGATATGGTTTACTTAGTGATAGTGCATTCATATTATGGAACATGACAGCTGTTTTAAAAAAGAATGAGACAGATGTTTATGTCCCGATAGGGAAGGCTTTGAAAGACATACTATGAAGGGAAATAAAGATGACAAAGACTGTGTAGTATGTATGCCACCCTTTGTATATAATAACTCTGAAAAGATGTACAAAAAATTGGGAAAAAAATATAGGCTCTGGTAGGAGAACAACTTCTGGAGGAAGAAGTGGAGGGGAGGTATTTTTTTTTTCTAGATTTTTGAATTTTGAATCATGTGCATTTACTGTCCACTCAGGGGTAAAGTTTAAAAACATAACATTTATTGGGCCAGATACTTTTGATGTCTTGCTTTACGTAATTTTCACTGTCAGCCTGCAGGGTAGTTATTATTATTACCATTTGCACTTGAGAAAAGGAGGGGTTCTGAGAAACTTAATAATTTATTCAACACCATACAACTAATAAAGGAGAAAGGCATATTTGAGACATAGATGTATCTTTGTGCAGCCAGTAAAGAGAGGAGGGCTGCATTCCAGACAGAGGAGTCAGCCTAAAGGCACAAAGGTGGGAGAGTGAAGTGCTCATGGGGCAACTGTGAGCAGTACAGAGTAGTTGGAGTGTAGGATGCATTGTGGAGAATAATGGGAGAGAAGGTAGATGAAAACTACAGGCCAGAGTGTAAAGGAAACTTAGACACTACATTATAAAATGTATACTCTGTCTTACTGATACTTAGAAGCTATGGGTGATGTTAAATAAAGTTTTTAAAACTTACTTTTTGATCCTGTATTGTGAAGGATAGGCAGGCATATCCAATGACAAGTTTGGGCAGCTGTCTTAATGGGGAGCATGTATTACCTATGTTGAGTTGTGAGTATCTGTGAAATAATGAATAGGAAATATTTTATGAACTGCGAAGCACTTTTTACTATAAATTACATTTTATATACACCTATGAAGAAGATCCTACTTTTCTGTAATAGAACTACACATGGATAATTTAGTCTAGAAAGAATTGTGTCAAAAGAGGACTTATTTCTAATGTAAAATGGTGCGAACAGACCGTTTCTTATTGTTTTTCTCTAACTCACATCTTTCTTTTAAAAAGAAAGTAATACAAATAGTTGGCACTATTGCTGGATATCTAGGTATCAGAATTTTCTCAACTTCTTTGTTGTAATATTTAATATACATACATGCTATTTACTAGCAAAATTTCCCTTGCATTTTAATGCATGCTATAACACTCACTTGAATTCATTTAAATATAATATTACTGATTTACATGCAAGGATGATTTTACATTGTTATTTATAAAAGTAAAAAATTGGAAACAACTTAAATATTCACAATAGCAGTTTGTTTAAATAAATTATTGTGCATTTATATTATGGGATGTTATGGAGGCATCAAAAACAGGATTTCAAAGAGTTTTTAATGGCAAATAAAAAAATAGAAAACAAAATTATATCTACAGCATGACCATTGCTTTGTTAAGAACATCAGTGACTTCCAGGTTGTTAAATCCAACTATTAATCCTTAGCTATCTTTGTACTTGACCTACCTGGAGCATTTGAGTGTAGATCACGATCACTCCCACCTTCTTTAAATATTGTCTTCATTTGGCTTCTGGGCCAGCACTCCCTCTTGAATTCTTCTTTCTTCTCTTGGTCTCCTCATTCCCACTCATCTTCTTTAGACCTGTAAATGTTGGCATAACCAAGGACTCAATCCAGTTTTCTCTACTTTTCCCCATCTATGCCTTCCTCATCCAGTTTCAGGACATACATCTTCAGCTTGGGTATCGCCCTTGAATTCTACTCAGGAATTCTACCTGCTTGTCAAGTAAGTGCACCATACTGAACTTATGCAAGATAAACTTCTGATTCTTTCCTTTACAAACATTCTTTCAGTGGTCTTCACTGCTTCAGAGAATGGCAAGTCTGTCTGACTCCAGTTGCTCAGGCCAAAAATCATGCCATTATCCTGGGCTCTTCTCTTTGACATCTCACTTTTGGTTACCCAGGAAGTGAGAGAGCCACTGCAATCAACACTCTCCTGAGAAATGAAAGACTGAGTTTCTCAGTGCAGCTGTAGAAGTTTTGGAACTTAACAATGGTTGGCTTCATAATGAGGGAAGCAGATAATCCCCCATTGAATTCAAATTTTAAAATAGATTTTCTCCCTCGTTCTAATCTATATTCTTATGTCTCCCATTGTTGTATTTCAAAACTTCAGGGGTTTTTTTTGTTTGTTTGTTTGTTTTCATTTCTAAAATGGCCATAACAATTGCCTGGACCTCATATTGTCTTCTTATGTGAATCAAATTTTTAAAGGTATGTAAGGTGCTGATTAATATATTAATATTTTATATTATAAAATAAAGAACATAAAGGCTTATGTAAACTTATAAAATATTAATTATTTAAATGTTACTTTATTTTATCTCTGGTGATACAAATATATCCTTTTTATAATAGAGATACTTATATAAATTGATCACTACTGAGTTAAGCATTTTAGAGATAGGAGAAGTTTAGCAAAACCTTTGTTCTGAAGCTCCTTGTGATGTGAGTCACTGGAGTATTTAATGGAAACTATTAAAAAATTTCTTGCTAGTCTGAATAATTGTAAAAAATTATATGTTTTAGTTTTTTGTCTATTTTCTTCCCAGTTTATATCAGGGTGGTTAGAATTATCTGCCTCAATTTTTTTCTTTAAATGTTTTAAAATGCGGAGTCCTCTCCACATTTACACAATGCAGTTGCATATTATCCCAAGTGCACATTCAAGTTATATATACATCGTGCTGCTCTATTGGGGAAAATATGATACTTCATCTAAAAGCCTAACATAAATTTGACATACTTTCATGAAATGCGAAATGGTTGAGACTTCTAATCCTAAATAATTTTCTAAATGTTCATTTATATTAAAAGCCTCAGTAGGCATATGTACTCCAAATGTTAATATCCTAGGGGATTACTTACAATGGTCATTTAGACATAGCTACAAAGTAGACTATGAAAAATTTATTAGAGTTGGAATGGGGCTTGATAAGTCATCTTGGCAGAAACAGCCCTATAGTGTTCCAGGCAGATGAATATCGCCCTTATTGCTTTTAAAGATATTTGAGGAAGAAAGGTTATATGACCAATTGGTATCTTATTTTAGTATTTAATAATCATAGCTGTGAGAAAATCTTTCCTTAATCTTTCTTTATAGGTGTTACTATTTAAGCCTTCCTTCTCCCCCTCCTCCTGCCTACCTTTTTATTATGTGCTTGGTAGAGAACACCTGGCCTATATAATAACTTTTTGCCTTTATTTTTGAGTTGTCTCCTAATCTTTCCTTTTTTATGCTAATGTTATTAAAGATTCCACTCAACCATTTTGTAGCATTTTTAAAAAGGCAATCAGATGCTTTATATATTTTAATCTGAATTCAGAACTGAGATTAGAACTGCCCTTTTTCTTTATTTTCTCCCCTTCCCTCCCCTCCGCTCCCCTCCCTTCTTCTTTCCTCCCCTTCCCTCTCCTCCCCTCCCTTCCCCTTCTCCTTCCCTCTCCTCTCCCTCTCCTCTCCCCTGCCTTTCCTCTCTTCTCTTCTCTCTCTCTCTCTCTCTCTCTCTCTCTTTTGTTCCCTTAAATCTATCATTCAAATACTTTTTCTAAACCTACCCAGATCTGCCACTATGCTACATGTTGTGAATGCAATGGGGAACAAGATACATGCAGTTCATTTTCAAATCGAATTCACAGACAAGTGCAATTCTCTCTTTCATTTAGGATAATGTGTGTGCGACAGTTGCCTATCTTTGTTTGCCAGTGTCAAAGACCAGCCCATCACAAAATCATAATCATACAATTTTTTAAAAAGTGATTAGTCAATCTGGGTTTTCATTAGTGTCAAAACATTGAACCTCAAAGTTCTACATTTTGTTCAGCATCACTTTACTGTGAGCCAAATAAGAGCCATAGTGGAATTCTGTTCAGGAACGAAGGAGGAGACCTCTACAGGCAATTGTAGAAGGGGTTTATGAACCAGCCCCACTCCCTCCAAAAAAGTGAATGTCTTGCCAAAGGAAAAGTAGTCATTCCAAAATGATTGTATTCCAGGACCCAGGGGAAAATGTTCAGTGCCTTTGAGAATGGATAGAGAGTGATAGTAAATCAGGAAACTGGCAGTTCTTTTTAGGGATTAAGCTAACAATGGGAATATTTGACATTATTAGTACTAATGTTTCTTTTTTTTATAATTTTTGCATAGTTTTCCTCTGTATAAACAGTGTCTGAAAGGGATATTCCTAACTCAAGTTGAATATTGGGAAAGCAGTAGAGGGGACTTATAGGAAATGGGCCTCCACCAAAAGATAAGGCTGTAGTCTTTTAACTCTTCACCAAACTTTGCCAGACTTTAAAGAAATATTGGCACCGATAATGTTAAATACTCCCATTGTGGGCTGCTGCAGCCACTACCACCATCATTACTAACAACTCACAAGCTACTGATAGGAAAACACTAATAAAGGTCATTAGATTATACCAAATGCTGATGCCAAATTACAACATGCAGCAATAATGCCAGCCACAGGTACTAAACACTCACTATGTGCCAGACACTGTAGCAAGGACTTAAACATACATTATTTCACTGGGTCTGCGCAACATATCCACATGGTAGAAAACTATTAATGTCCCCATCTTACAGATAAGGAAATAAAGTCATGAAAAAATCATGCAATTTTCCTTAGGTTACACAGCTTGTAAGTGGTGGAGTTACTGAAACACAGATTTGTCTGTTTGTATAGAATGTAATCATAACCATGAAACTATTTTTCCTCTTCAGAATCTCTGACCTTTTACCTCACTCATGAACTCTCATTTCAAGTTGTTCATCAATTAGAATTTATTTTTCCCAAGTCTAACACGTACGCAATTGGCACTGAAGACAGGATAAGAGACTTACTAATAAAAGTCTTCAACATAGTGCTTACTTAAACTGTAGAGACCACTCAAGTTTAAAATTCAGATTTTCAAAGAATGGTGATTCATTTTGCAGATGCAACTGCTATTAACTGATTAACTCCTCTCACTATTGACTGTTTACCCTATTTTAAGGTTGGAGAAGTATTCAGTTAATCCCACAGTTATCAATTGTAGAGACATTAGATTTACATATAATCATAGCTCAAAATCATGCTTGTGGCTGTAATAAGTGGTTACATTCTTTTATCAGTAGATTTAGTTTCCTAGTGGCCAGTAATTTTGAACTCTCAATGTGTGCTGTGATTGAAATTAAATATTCATTATGATCTTTTGAAGTTTACGTTGAAAAGTACTTCAAAAACTATCAGTACATCAAATTATAATGTATTGCATCTCTTTTTAAAAGTCTGATAGCGGTAATCCTTTGTGAATTTTGCTCTTTACAGTTCTTTCATCAGTGCAGATGTTGGCAATTCACATGGGACATCTAAAAAATGCCTTCTCATAAAAGCTGTGGAAGAAAGTGAGCCATAAATCATGCACTTTAAATATGGGAAGAGTATCTTGCTATGGCTAGTATAGTTGCTCAAGAACAAATGATTGCGAAAGGAATGGTTTAATGCTTTATTAGCATTACCCTATGATAGCACTTTCTTACTGATTTGTTTGCAGCTGATTGAACTCTTTCTTTTAGGAGTATCATTTAGGATTACTGTTTCGTATTTTTCAATAGCTTTTTTAATTACTAGGAAAAATATTCAAAGAAAATTATTATATTCATTGTGTGTATGCACGTATATGTGCGTGTGTGTGTCTTTGGGACAGGTGTGCCCTCAGATGGCACATTCACATTTATTACATTTCGTATTTCATCTCTCATAGCTCTTGGACTTGACTGATGGTTAACAGTAAACATGTGTAATTATTCTTTCATGCAACTTGGCCATTGGCAGGATTTTCATAGCATTAATTTAACTGCTGAGGCTGCAAGTCAAGATTCATCAGTTTTATTAGGATGCTGAACCTTAAAAGCTTATGGTTGATAATGTTATTGACTCTGCATTTCCTCTGTAGTGAAGGGAAAACTGGAAGTGCAGCACTTTTTAATATAGTTCACGTATAGGTGGCTATGAGCTGGAAATTCTGTCAGAGCTCAGTTAAGTGACCAACCCTGTTACCTCAACTCTGCCACTTCAGTGGTTGAGCATTTCAGTTGCTTCAGAATGCTTTAGGCTTTCATTTTGAAAACAAACTTTCAGACTTGCTTTGGTTTTTGACTTTTTGTTTTTTTTAAATACCCCTCTACAGTTTCTAGACATGAGTGGCATGAAATTTTGTCCATGTTTTTATTATGAAAATGTTTCAAATACAGAGAAGTTGAAAAACAGTTGGAAAAAAGGCATCTTTTGCCTTAATGTTCAATTGTTACCATTGTTTCTGACTTATTTTCTCTTCATATATATATATATATATATAAATGGATTTTATTTATTTTTAATTTTTTTATATTTGCTCATTTGTTTTATTTTTCCTGAATCACTTGAAAGTAAGTTGCTAAGCTGTAGGTATTATGACATTTTATTCCTTAGTACTTCAGCATGCATCACCTAAAAATAAGGATATACTGTTCTACAATCAAAATACATTATTACATCTAAGAGGTAATGATAAATGCACACTGTCATCTAACATAAAGTCTGTATTTTAATTTTCTCAGTTGCCTTGAAAATTATCTTACAGTTTTAATTTTCTTTTTAATTCAGGATCCAATTAAAATCCACTCATTGTATTAGGTTGTTACATCTTTTTAGTTTAATCTAAAGTTTCCTTCCACAATTTCTTCCTGGCTCTACTTTTTTTTGTTCTTTGTGACCTTGACTTTTTTTTTTTTTTTTTTTGAGTGGGAGTTTTGTTCTTGTTACCCAGGCTGGAGTGCAATGGTGTGATCTCGGCTCACCGCAACCTCTGCCTCCTGGGTTCAGGCAATTCTCCTGCCTCAGCCTCCTGAGTAGCTGGGATTACAGGCACACACCACCGTGCCCAGCTAATTTTTTGTATTTTTAGTAGAGACAGGGTTTCACTGTGTTGACCAGGATGGTCTCGATCTCTTGACCTCCCGCCTCTGCCTCCCAAAGTGCTGGGATTACAGGCTTGAGCCTCTGCGCCCGGCCGTGAGCTTGACGTTTTTGAAGAGTTCAGGTAAGTAGACTATGTGACGGTCTGGATTTGTCTCACTGTTTCCTTATTAAATTCAGGTTAAATCAGTGGTTCTCACACTTTAGGGCATTTCAGAGCCATCTAGAGATTGTTAAGCATAGATGGCTTGGCCCCACCCCCAGAGTTCCTGGGGTCTGTGTTAAAGCCCATTCTAGTTTGAATTTCTAACAAGTTCACAGGTAATGCCCATGCCACTGTCTCAGGACTACACTGAGAACCACTGAGTTAACATTTTTCACATAGATAACATGTATACTCCTTATTACATTGTATCAAGGACACATGTGGCATCTTGTTTTGCTGCTAGTGACAAGTCTGATCCTTTCGTTGATGTAGAGACTGCTAGATTTCTCCATTGTAAATGTTCATCTTTTTTTCTCTGTTGTAATGAATAAGCTATCTGTGGGGTTTATTATCTGAAATTAATAAATAATCTTCAGGGGAAAGGTGATATAAATTTCTGTTCCTTAACAACCAGGTTTTAACATCCAGTGATGGTCCTTGCCTGAACTAATTGTCATTGTTTCTTAAAAAACATTTTTTGTTATTATTCCTTCTTCTCTCACACCCTCTCCTTTTTTTCTTCCTTGAATCTTCCCTTTTCTCTCCCTCACTTTCTTCCTTTCTCTCTCTCCTGCCCTTTCTCCCTTTCTCCAACACACATGCAGTTTTTCTGTTTCACACACATTCACAAACACACAGAGCGTCTCTGCTACCTCTCTTTCTCTTCTTCTACCTCTCCCTCTTTCCCTCTCTTTACCTCCCAGTGTTATGATTTAGTATGATTGTTATTCTTTTTGAAGCTCCTAGATTCAATTTTTTTAGTTGAGAACTTCTCCTGTGTCCTTCTGAGATGATATCATAACAATTGTTAAGCACTTCCTTGTTTTCTGGCAAAAGTATTCAAAGTATTACCCTGTTCTTTTTCTGCCCTAGATCTGGAATCAACCATTTCTTTTGGTTGGTTTCTTTTAATAGGAATGTTTTTTAAAATCTAGTATCTAGGTTTTCGAAGTTCTTGTTGCTAATTGGAGTGTCTTTTCTACTAAGACAGACCATAGATGTAATTTTGTAAGAGGCAAATGAGATCATGCTGACAAACTCCAGTTCAAATGTAGCACCACAGGTTTCTTCATCACCTCCCCCATATCCTTTTGGCATCCACATTTGTCTACAGTGAGAACACTGATACTTAAATAACATACACACACACACATGCACGCTCTCTCTCTCTTCTTTGTCTCTGTCTAATTTGCTGTAATGCATACAAAACAGATTCAGAATTACAGCAGTAATACTTCAACCAACAATAACAAAACTACTGAGAAAATTAGATTTTCATACAATTATTGTCCTTCAAATTTAGTAGAGTGTATACAGTCTGAGTGCTGTATTCAAGAGTTCCTTTATCATTTTTGTTTGTGTTAACAACTTGATATACAGTGTATTACAATTGTTTCTTTTTATTCCCTTTTGGGCTTTGCTTTTTCCAACTATTTTAATTTTTGAAAATGTAAAATATTTCCATAGTCAAAGTTAAAACTACATAAAAATGGAAAAGTTTTCATTCTATTTGTATTTACTAGTTTCAGGTTTATTTTCCTGTGTTTCTTTTTGATAGAAGTAAACAAAAATATAAACATTTACCCCTATTTATTATACAAAAGAGGCATATTATTCAGTATACACTCTTTGGCACCTTTAAAAAAATCTAATATTACATCCTGGGAATCACTCTAATATCAACTTGTAAAGATCTTCCTTCTTCTTTCTCACAGCTACATATAACTCATTGTGGATGCACTGTAGGTAATTTAACCAGTCTCCTAGGGATGGACATTTAGATTGTTTCCAAAGTTTTGCAGTTACAAGTAATATAAGTAGCTTAGTTGTCTTGATTCATGATCTCTCATGAATTTGAAATAAAGCTATGGGCCAGTTTTCATAAGCTTTAGTTGGGGCTGGAAACTCTACTTCCTAGCTTACTTACGTGGTTGCTGGCAGGCTTTGTTTTCTTGCTGCTTAGACTTCTGCATAGGCTACCTGAGTATCATCAAGACAGGGCAGTTGGATTCCCTCTCCAAGGGCAGCTTTCTGACATGGTAGCTATCTCCCTCTAGAATATGATGAGAGAGAAAGCATATTCATCTACATATCCCCACATCCAAGGTAGAAACCATAGTCATTTTGCAACCTAATATTAGCAGTGACATCCAATCCTGTCTGCTATATTTTATTAAACTAGAAGTGAGTCACCACATCCAGACCGTACTCAAGGGAAGGGGAGGGAATAATCTCCACTTGTTGAAAAGAGAAATGTAAAAAATATATGAACATATCTTGAAAATTACCACATTATCTTATGCAGAGACCTCAAGCTCAAAACATTTGTTGTACATATGATAGCACCTTTGCTAGATGCTGTTACAAATACTCTCTCATTGAAGTCCTAACAACTGTCTTGTACTTGCTCCAGAGTAGAACTACACATCCACTGAATTGCAACTTGGTAGTTCTAATGATGGTTCCAGGTTATAAATCTATTTGTATAATTATATTCAATATTAAAATAAATTTGAGTAGATTGTCTTACATCTCTCTGTTTTTCACTATCTTAACTTTTTGTTTTTTAAATGCTTTGAGGACAGTGATTTTTTTTTTTTTTTTTTGAGATGCAGTTTCACTCTGTCACCCAGGCTAGAGTGCAGTGGCGCAATGTCAACTCACTGCAACCTCTGCCTCTCATGTTCAAGTGATTCTCATGCCTCAGCCTCCTGAGTAGCTGGGATTATAGGCATGAACCACCATACCCAGCCAAATTTTGTATTTTTAGTAGAGACAGGGTTTTACCATGTTGGCCAGGCTTGTCGCAAACTCCTGACCTCAAGTGATCCACCCGCCTTAACCTCTCAAAGTGCTGGGATTACAGGTATGAGCCACCACACCTGACCAGGATAATGATTTTAAAAGAAAGCTTGTTTGGGTTAGGAACATGGCTGGTGCTAAATAAAAAAAGATTGGTTACAAGTTGATTGGTGCAGCTGGGTGATGGGCCAGTATGGGGGGACTTACTGAGGTATTTAATCTACTTTTATGTATTTGTTTAAAGTTTTCCTATATGCAAAAGAAAAAAGAAAAACAAAACTTCTCTTGCCCTATATTTTTATTTTTTGTCTTTAAAGATTTATTGTGACAAAAGAATATGTATTTTTGGTCATTGGGAAAAAACAGACCCATTATTCTTCTGAGAACTATCAGGTATTCTGGGTCCTTAGGAAGAACCTCAGGTTCCAAATGAATAGCCCTTCTTCTGTGATAGGATTCCAAAACTTTGTTGTACACAGAATCAACTGTAGAGCGTGATGAAATGTCCCAGCTCCCAATACCAGCTTGTCTTAGTCTGTTTTGTATTGCTATAACATAATACCTGAGGCTGGGTAATTTCTAAAGAAAGGAGATTATTTGGCTCACAATTCTGTTAGCTGAAAGGTCCAGGACTGGTTAGCTGCACTGGTGAGGGCCTCATGCTGTTTCCACTCAAGGTGGAAAGTGAAAGAGGAGCAGGCCTGTGCAAAGGGATCATGTAGAGAGGAAGGATGAGAGACAAAGCAAGAGGTAAACCTAGGAAGCCACCCTCTTTTTAACAACCTGCTCTCTGCTTTCAGGAAAGAATCTATTCCCGCTCCTCACCTCCCCCAGGAGAACTCACTCAGCCCTACCCCTGAGTAGGGCTTTAACAGCCCTACTCAGCTCTGTTAAAAGGCATTAATCTATTCATGAGGGATCTGCCCAAATGACCCAAATGTCTCCTCCTTATACTGCCACATTGGGCATCAAATTTCAACATGAGTTTTGGTAGAGACAAACCATATTCAAACCATAGCACAGCCATTATAATTTAGAATATTTGGATAGAATAAAGAAATCTGCTTTTTAAACAAGTACCCCTGGGTGTTTCTGATTCCAATGATACTTGGACCCCAATTTGATATATCTTATTTGGATATGCAGCAAGGGCACTCTTACAAGTAAGGCAGAACAACAGATACAAAGATGAATGTGATGTTTCTATATTATGCTCCATTTCCTCCAGAAACTTGTAAACTAATAGAGGAGACAGACATGCAATAAGTGTTACAATAGGAGTAAACAGAATTGGGCTGTTTTCATATTATTATACCAGGTCACAACAGGGAGTAAAGATCATATGGAGCAAATTTCTTGTCTGGATGAGCAAAATAAGAAGAGCTTTGGAAATATGGAGAAATATATAATTGTTTACTTTTCTAAAGAATCAAATGTTTCAAGCTAGTCTTGGCAAGTGCTGAAAATTATTCATTTTATAGATGATGTCTGATGAGTACCAGGGTTTTAGATTATGGATTAAAGAGGAATCCACATGCTTTGAATACAAAATGTGCAAATGACAAACATAATATGAGAACTAACACATTGCAGTTCAGAAGATCAACTCACTTAAATGTATTGGTAGACCTTAGGGAAGCCCAGGGATGCAATGGGCAGTCATTATTTTAATTTTACCAATCTGTTCAGGAATACCAACAGAGTGTTTAAGAATCCAGACTATTGAGAATTCAGGTGTTACCATTTGGCCACCTCATTGTTCAAGTAAAATCGATTTTGTGAATAAGATTACATACTACTCTTTGCATTGCTGTGGAGGGCATAGTGTTTGGGGAGAGAACTAACAGTTAATTGAATGTCTAATGAAAAATCCTTTCTTCACAACCAAATTATAAGATATAGGTAATATTACCATTTTAATGATGGGGAAACAGATAATGACTAAGTGATTAAAGATAATGACTTCTACAGCTAATTCATAACTATTGATCATGTAAAATATATCCCCAAATGAACAAATGAGTTTCCTTTTGGTATGGAGTTAATGTTGTTGATATTAACCTTTTCTAATAATAGTCAAGCTAAAGGAAGCTTCTAGTTCATTAGTATCAAAATAATAGCTAACTTATGTTAAGCATTTATGAATTAGTTATGGTGTTTAGTGTGTATATACACACACAGAGATACACACACATACACACATTGAATTTAGGGAAGATATATAATGTATGTATATATACATACATTATATATCTTCCCTAAATTAAAACAATAATCTCATTACATAGATGGCAGTTTATTTAGGATAAGGGAAAGCAAATCCAATTTATGCAATTTGCTAGATCAAGTTACACAACTATTGCATATTTCCTACTACTACATTACTTGTAAGTAATCTCTTAAAGGGGTAAGATCAGAGGAGAAATAAAACAGCCAAGCCAAACTTTTTGGAGAGGATGATTATGTAAAATGAGTCTTTGGATTAAACAGTAATGATTGAAAGTTAGTAGGTTACTAGTTTTGACAGTAAAATGGCAAAAAGCACAATTACTTTTGCATCAACCTAATGTATTTCTATTTTCAGAGAATTGTCGACATTAAATAGCATGATTTGCTTGCCTTAGTTTGTACCTGCAGTTTAAAAGTATCGATTTTGTCTTGAGTGAAATAAAACAAGGATATGAGTTGAAATGCAACTAAAAAATCCAGATGATTAGTGAAACATTCACAACCCCATCATGTGTTCCTAAACAAGAGTCCAAAACTGACTCCAATTTAGTCCAAAATCATTGAAGAGGAAAGTTTACTTCTAGTCTGGAAAATACAAATGCTTCAAATGCAGATGAGTTCATTTAGCTGGAACAAATTATATCTTTTGTCTTAATCTCAGTGTTCTAAATGAGTCATATGGCTCTCCTGAACACCTCCTGTGGAATTAGTGTGGGAGGTGATTTGTCAGTGAAATAATGAATTGGTGACCTCCTGTTCAGACTATACCAGGAACTAAATTATAGCTAAATTATTTGAAAATAGGTCCTTGAGTTTTATGTCTTGTTATTCAGAACTTCTGTTTGGTGCATTGACATAAATGACTGCTTAGTAAATACTGTTAAATTGTATACTAACTAGAAGCAGAGCTTTGCGCTCATTACATCTTTATTAGATTGACTGTAAAGGCTACTTATGATCATACATTTTTAAAATTCTTTCTCCATGCCTCACCTGCCAATAGGAGAATTTCCAAAAACCTGCATAGCTTATAAGTATATGCAAAAAGTATTGCTTACCCTCTTTTATCTGTTTGACACTTGTCTTTAGACTGCCGTATATCCTTTTTTCTTGATTGCCTATTTCTTAAATGTACTTCCGGGAATTTCAGCTGGATGGTAAGTGGGGCCCATTGCTGTGGCACAGGCATATGAAGACAGATGTGCTGGGTCAGGGCTGGCAGAAGTTGATTACTGAGGTGGTAGACTAGGGAGAAGCACTGAAAATCTTGAGAATTAGCTCAGGCAGCATTCACTTCTGGGGTTCACATGGATATGGTTACTGTGGGGATGGTCCAAAGAAAGCTATTTAGAGAACAGCTGAGAAACCTTCTAATATGGGAGAGGGGAAAAGGAAAGAACGCATCCTGTGCCTCATCCTGCCCCTGCAGAAAACAACAACAACAACAACAAAAAGCCAGATCTGATAAAGCATTCATAATAACAAATATTTTTTTGTAAGAACTTCTAACATATTAGCTGTTACAAACACAGGCCTGAATCTGGGGCAGGTTATCTGTGGGAGCAGGGGGAGAAAGGACTATAGAGAAATGCTGAGAAGCCATTTTCACTAAACTTTGAAACTCACTGGAACTGAGAAATCCTGCTTTAAAACCCTTCTAAGGCCACGCATGGTGGCTCACACCTGTAATCCAAGTCCTTTGGAGGCCAAGGCGGGCGGATCACCTGAGGTCGGGAGTTCAAGACCAGCCTGACCAACACGGTGAAACCCCGTCTTAAAAAACAAAACAACAACAACAACAGAAAACCCTTCTAACAATGTTAAACAAATGGGAAGCTTTACACCCTGAGAGATCAAGACAATCACTACCAGAGAAGTGCCCTGCCTACCTAAGTAAAAAAGGTAGAGAATACTGTGTTGGGCAGAGAGTGGGGAAATGTCTACTGCTACTGTCACACTTTGTGAGCCACAGTGGACTCCTCCATGTGTGTAACACTTTTACTTTTAATCACGTCAGCATTCATCTTCTAAGACTAAGGGCATTCTCCTGCATAAGCACGCTACTGTTGTCAAAGCTGAGAAAAATTAATTTTTCCATAATTTCATCTCATATTTTATCTATAATCAGATTTTCTCACTTCTCTCAAAATGTCTTTCATAGCTGTTTTGTTCCCTCAACCAAGATCTAATCAAAGTTCATGAGTTGTTTTAGTTTGTTCTTTCCAGATCATTTATAGTTTATAATTTTGGAATAAATTTAGACTTAGAAAAAGACTTACAAAGAATTCCTATACATCTTTCACCCAGATTTCTCGGATGTTAACACTTTACTACATTTGTTTATCAATCTCTCTACATATATACACACATTAGTGTTCCTTTTTGAACTGTTCAAGAGTGGTTTGTAGACGTGAAACCTCATATTTTTATATACTCCATTTTCTTAAAACAAGGGCATTCTCATAAATAACTATGTATAGGACAATTATCAAAATCAGGAAATTAACATAAATACAATATTACTACCTAGTATACAGACCTTTTTCAAATTTTGCCAATTGTCTTAGTAATGCCCTTTATAACAACAGAAAAAAATATATTTTCTGTTTCAGGAGCACATGCTACATATAGTTGTTTCTTTTATTTTCTTTAATCTGAAACCATTCTTTGGTCTTTCTTTTTCTTTCATGACCCTGGTATTTAAAAAGTTGAAGAATACCAGACAATTTTAATCCAAAGTGGCCCTTGATTTCCATTTGTCTGATGTTTCCTCATGATTAGATTCAGGCTTTGCATTTTTGAGCCAGATGTCAAATTGTGTCCTTCTCAGTACTTTAGGTTAAGGAGACACATAATGCTGCTATATCTCATTGCTGGCAATGTTAACTTGGTGATGTTAACTGGTGATGATCACTTGGTCTAGCTGGTTTGTCAGGTTTCTTCATTCTTAGGCTACTGTTTTTTGCCTTTATAATTAATAAGAAATTTGTTGGGAGATACTTTGAAACTATGTAAATATCCTGTTTCTCATCAAACTTTCTCCTACTGGTTTTTAGCATCCACTGGTTTTGTCTCAATCATATCCAGATAAAATTTATGTTCTTTACTAGGACGTTTTGGGTTTTTTTCCTCCTAAATCACTTCACAAACACTTATTTTATAAATTTACTTTACTCAAAGGTTCTTTTTTCACCAAAATTATAGCTAGTTGGCTCAAAAAAAAATTTATGGTATATTCAGAGACCAGGTGTTGTTGTGTCTCTTCCTCCTCACACCTTTTCTTTGGACAGGTGCTTCTTTTCTCCCACAACTTTTATTGGCTTAAGCCATCAGTTTGTTACGTAAGCTATTTCACATGACATTTCTGCTTTGCCCTAGTTTTTTGCCTGCTTGTTCCTGGTTTTAAACAAAAATCTTTTCTTTGTAATGACCACATCCTTCAGTCCATCCATTTCTATTTCTTAAGTTTAGGCATTAGACATCACTCTTGGTAAAAGGCTTTCCCATTTTTGTTGTTAAGTCCAATGGCATTTGTTTTCCACATCTGTTGTTTGACTTATCCTCCCTTTTTGTATCTCTCCCCTTTTAGCTTTTGAAAATCACCTTCTTCAAGCTATTTTATTTATATTTATTTATGTATTTGGATCAACCTGTTAACCAAAATCAAGGCACTATAAATCTTTCATTAGGGCTATTGCAATTTGAAGCCTGCTTTCCAGGGGTTGCCATCTTCTTCTGTCTTAAATGTTATACTTAGAATTATAAATATTAGAATGAGGAAATTCTGCACTGTTTCTGTCTACCCCTCTGCTTCCAGAAAACTGACTTGTGTTTGTTATCTGTCTTACTGTTAAGTTATGTTTCTCCGATATTTTCAACAATTTCTGTTTGTCTTCCAAAACAACTTTAAACTCATTTTTAAAAATTAATTTATTTATTTCCATTTACCTCAGACTCCATATCCACCCCTCACCTCTGTTGCTACTAGCTGTCAAGTTCATTCTTACTGGGACTCATATAGTATGGTCATTTTTCCCTTTCCTTTAATTTTAATATGTTTCCCAGGTAACAATACATTCAATTAGAGGTTCTCAAACTTTAGTGTGCCTACCCTTTCTTCCCTTTTAGAATCCCCTACTCTTTGACCATCTCCATAGCTATGTTTATATTGCCATGAAATTTCCACATAGTATCCCTCATAAGAAAGACTAAGTAGATTATAGTTCTCAAACTTGAAACCTTATGGATTGTAGTTCTCAAACTTGAAACTTTCTACGGCTGCACATCATAAAAAGATGCTCCTAAACTATCAATACCATTTCTTGGGCCATATACCATGTATTTGCCTATCCCAGGTTTAGCCCTGTCCTCTATGAAATCAAGTGATCTGTAGAAGGAATGCTGTGTGTTGTCTGTTGGATGTGGAGAATGGATGGGGAACATGGCCACAGATAGTTTCTGAAGTCTTAGAAGTTGTGAGCAGATTTTTGTGCATTTCTCTTGAGAGAGAGCTTATAGTTTTATCAAATTCTTAAGAGCATCCTGCCTCACTTTCTCTAATTTTGGTTCAAGTTCATATTCTCCAGTCCAAAAGCTAACCAGACTAGTTTTTCTGCATTTTAGTGTCTGAAGAAGTAAAGCATCAAGGCACTGCGTCTTCCTTCTGCTGTGCCATTCCCGAAGTGGGCACTGGGCTTAGCTTTTGCCAGGTTAATGAAATTCTAAATAGTTCTCTTGGAAATTTTGGGTTCTTTTCTCATAATATAACCGCTCAAGGGAACCCAGTTTTACAACTTGAAGATCTTATCAATTCCTTAATTCCTGGGGTTTAATTACTGACTTGGATTCATACAGTTTTGTCTGTAACCACTCTGTTGGGTAATTGCTCTCCACCTTCCATAGATGAATAATTTCAAATTGTTTTCCCTTACAAGTATTTTTCTGGGGTACTTCTCCCCTTCCAGAAGCTGCATAAATGTTCTCTCCCCTCTTCCTTCTGTCCCCTTTGCCTTCTGCAACCCATATGGAAGGCAAAACAGACAAGTTAAAAATGTTTGTCTTATTTCCCTTTTTGTCTTCTGCATCCCCAGCCACGACTTTTTTAAGCTGCCTTCCTCTATCCTGCCCCAGTTTTTCAAATATGTTCTGTCTTTCCTTCTTTCAAAATTCCCACTTAAAGCCGACACCTGACACTCATCAAAATCCTGAACCAAAAGAAAAAATGCTGAGATACACATTCCTAAATTTGCTCATTTCTACTCTTAACTGCTCTTAACCACGGATTCCTTGTCACTTGGGCTTTGCCCTAGCTAAACCGTAACCAAGTTTCCATATCCCTTTCATTTCTCCTCCCATTCTTGCCCCATTATATTTTACTCATTCCTATGCCACCCACCTTTCAAGACACTAGTCTCTTCATTTCAGTTTCTACATTCTCTCCTTTCTCCACAAATTTTCCTCCCCTCTCATCCCCCACTGGTACCCCTTTTTAATTCCTTTTCGGTGTGTTCCACTCACTTAAATGGAGGTTATTTATTTTGACATAATCCCTGTGAGGTAGTGAGAGCAGATGTATTATATATGCTTTTTTACAAAGATAATAACTGAAGCTTGCGAAGTTTAATCTACTTGTCTGACATAATATAACCATTTGCCTTAAGAGTTATAGACCCAAAGTCTCCTTGTCATACTTGGTTTATCTAATGATCCTGCTTCCCTCTTGAAACTAAAGATAAAGATAACAGATTGACTCTATTGACTGGTTTTCTCAAGTCATATCAACATCTGTGTGCACCTTTCTCAAAAAATAACTTTTATATTTTTGCAACAAGTAAAACATGCAATCCTTGGGATATCCCTGTACAAAAATCTTTGTCCAGAAGTTGTACCAGTTTATTATTTAACATTGTTTCTTTTAAAAAGAGTGGGATGTTTTAACATATCTAAAATTAGGTAATGGAAATAGGATTTGCTGTCATCACTAGGAATTATATCTGTTGTAGGAGAGGTTATAAAAATATATATAGGACATCTTTCCCCTTCAAAGTAGTTGCTGAATTCGAGGCAAATCTAAGTGTCAACCCTGTAAAGATTTGCAGAAGGATGTCTAGACTTTTTCGGACATAAGAAAGTGGCAGTAGTTGAATGCTGTTAATCATTCTCTTGAGTAAAGAATATAAGGACCTTAGAGTAACCCTTGGCTGCTTTCTTGGTGTCCTGAAATTTCTGCTTGACTGTTTAATTTAAAAGAACCAAAACTTAAGTCCGATCTAGAGAAAGGGTTTACCACTAAATTTGGTAGGCACCTATCAGAGTTGTTTCCAAATCCCACGATTGGTGAACATTGGTACCACAACTTGGCCAAGGTCTCTAGGCCCAAATCTAATGCTCTTTTGATATACCTCCACCACACTAGTAATATTACTCCTTGGAAAATCGTTCCTTCACCAGGCTGGTGTTTGAATATGTACCACTTACCTTGAGAAAGACTTAACACATAATTTCTGAATAATCTTGTCACCTTA